AAATAGCAAGGATAAAAAGAAATGAGGGAAAGACTATAGGTTAAAAGAGATATTCATCAGCAGATCTACATTTGCTGTCTCTCAGTTACTCAATCAAATATTGATTTGGTACAAACTCCCTAATCAGTTGAATTTAAATGAGAGAGATTCAGTTGGATGGACTAACTTTCTCAGATGGAAGGTCATGGAAGTAAGTCTTCTATAGAGACAGAAAAAGACTTCTTCCTTTTGTGGACAACAACTTTAGTCCTTGCCTGTTGAAAGCTGTGGTCACTTAGTTTATAGGGAGTTATGCTGCAAATCCAAAGGTGGTGTTTTTAAGGCAGCTTAAATTCACCAATGGCTCAGTAGGAGTAAGATGGACAACCTCTTTCCAAGTGATTTACAGCTTCCTGATAACTCACTGGAAAGTCACCTATGAGTGGGCTGTGACTCAATAGCAATGAATTTGTTGTGTAGAGTTCCAGCCCCTTCAGGACCCTCTCTTCCTGAAAGTGGTACTATGAAATTCAGGTCATAGTTTTGTAAGCCAATTCCCCATCAAAAATTCCTTGTAAAAATGTACCCTATTGGTTAAGTCATCCAGGAATTGATGGAATACCAATTGACATATTTCAACAAATAGATTCTGCTCTGGACATGCTTGTCAGATTGTGTTAAGAAATCTGGAGGACAGCTACGTGGCCAAGTGATTGGAAGAAATCCATATTTATTCTCCTTCCCAAAAAAGATGATTCAACAAAATGTGGAAATTATTGAACAATATCATTAATATTACACACAAGCAAAATCTTGCTGAAGATTATCCAAAAATATCTGGAACAGCACCCTGACAGAGAACTGTCAGACATACAAGCTGAGTTTAGAAGAGGCTGTGGAACTATGGATGTCATTGCCAATGTCAGATAGATCTTGGCTGTAAGCAGAAAATACCAGAAAAGTGTCTATTTGTGTTTTATTGACTATGCAAAGGCATTTGACTGCATGAATCACAACAAATTATGGCTAACATTAAGAAGAATGTTAATCCAAGAACACATGATTTTGCTTATGTGAAACTTGTACTTAGACCAGGAAGAAGTCTACAGAAAAGACCAAGAAAACTGCATGGTTCAAAATCAAGAAAGGAGTGTGTCAGAGATGTCTTTTCTCCATATCTTTTCTATCTGTATGTGGAATTTGGGCGACTAGACTTTATGAAGAAGAATGTGGCATAAGGACTGGAGGAAGACTCATAAACAACCTATGTTATGCAGATGACACAACTTTGCTTGCTGAAACCGAAGAGGACTTGAAGCGTTTGCTACAAAAGGCCAAGGACTGCAGTCTGTTATATGGATTACATCTCAGCATTAAGAAAACAGAGATTCTCATTACTGGGCTAATTGGCAGCATCATGATAGATGGAGAAGAGATTGAAGTTACTAACAATTTTAGCTTGCTCAGGTCCACAATCAACACTCTTGGCACTTGTTGGTGTTGTTAAGTGCCGTCAAGTCATAGGCGCCTCATAGCGACTCTATGAATGAAAGTCCTGGACACCTGTATAACTGTATAACTTTTGTCCTTTCACCAAGGTTCACAGGATTTCCAGAGGCAAGCTATTTTGGAAGTGGATGTCACTCCTGCTTCCAAGCTTGTTTTATTGGGGGGCGCCACCAAACACTGTCCACCATGAGTAACCATTCTCGCATTTGACTCATCAGTGTCACAGTGTTTGGCTTCACAGCAACCACAAGTTACCTCTGTACAGCAAGTGGACTTAACCGGGGGTTACATGACCTAGAAGAATGCCAACAAGAGGAGCCGCCATGGAGACACTAGCCATCCCACCAGATTGGCCGGCTGATTTGCAGAGTGGAGGGCGACTCCAGTCCCCAAGCCTCCTGAAGGATTTTAAGCTAGCACCTGGAGCAGGTTCCACAGGCTCCACCCCACCCTTACTTAGCCTCTTGGCTCTAGTAGTCAGGAAATCAAAAGACGAATAGCTTAGGGAAAGTCTGCTGTCAGGGACCTCTCCAGGGCACTAAGGATCAACAATGTCAGTCTGGGGACTAAGATGCTCTTGACCCATGCCATGGTCTTCAAAATTACTTGTCATGCATCAGAGAGCTGGACAATGAGTAAGGATGACAGTAAGGTGTCTGCCTTTGAGTTATGGTGCTGGAGAGTACTGACCATACCATGAACTGACAACAGAACAGAGAGGTTTTTATTGGATTGGGTAAAACTGCACTGCTCCTTGGAAGCAAGGATTTTGGGCATATTGCTGGGAGTGACCCGTCCTTGAGAAAGGACACTATACTTAGTAGGGTGGAGGATCAGAATAGGACAGGAAGACCCTGTATGAGATGAACTGACACAGTGACTGTGGGAATGAGGGCAGATATATCAGAGACAGTGAGACTGGCTCACGACAGAGCAGGGTTCAGAGCTACTATTCACAGGGTAGCTATGAATCATAGTCAACTTGACAGCGCATAACAACAATTGTTGTTTGCTGTATACTATAGAGTTGGAACCAACGCACAGGTGACGCTCTGCCTGGTATTCAGAGGCAGTTAACCTCACTGGAGGAGACTGCCCATCCTTCTCCCATGGAGCAGCTGGTGGCCTCAAACCACGTGCCTTCGAGATTGCAGCACAGCTGGCTACATTCCTTATAAATTATATCCAACTGATTCTGCTACTGTGGTTAAATCTTCACAGATACAGATTTTGGCTTTCAGAATCATTATGCTAAGTGCAAGAACAAATTTGAAAAGGTTACATATTACCAAGACATTTGTATTAGTTTTGTAACTTTCTGTAAGTCTATAATAATTTCTAAATAAAAAGTATTAGCAATTAATCAAATGTAATAGATGTACCTTACTCTCAACACTGATTAAACAACAAGAACAAAAACCAGTCAAAATATTAAAATATGTAGAAATAGAAGTCATGATGGCACAGTGGTTAAGTGCTCAAATGCTAAACAAAAGATCCACCAATGACATTCTCCATGATGAGATACTTGCTGAAGTCTTCCCCACCCCCCCATATTTTTTATTAGGTTGCATACAATCATTCATATACATTGTGGTTTTTAAAGTTTGTAAAAACTCCTTTTTTTATGTGCCCTCCCCCCCTCACCATGATTCCTAGACTCCCTCCCCTAATCCCCTGACCTCCCTCTTTCCCTCTTTGGATATCCATACACATCTTACTAGTTATCCTTCTATTATAAAAGTGGACTGAGACTGTGTTCATTCAGCATACTCATCTCTAGCTTCTTCCATGTTATGTAGTATTTTCAAAATTGTTGCTCCTGAGTGCTGCATAATATTCCATAGTGTGAAAGTACCATAGTTTTTCAATCCAGTTGTTTGCTGTTTGAGCTGTTTCCATGTTCTTGGTACTGTAGAAAATACTGCTTTGAACATCAGTGCACAGATCTCCATTTATGTCTCAGTTCTATTTTCCTTGGGGTATATTCCTAGCAGTGGAATAGCTGGTTCACATGGAATTTCTATGTTCAGCTTTTTGAAGAAGTGCCAAACTGCCTTCCAGAGTGATTGCAATCCCACCCACAGTGTATGAGAGTTCCAATTTCTCCACATTCTCTCCAACAATTCTTGCTTACAGTCCTGTTAAACTTTGCCACTGCTACTGGAGTGAGATGGTATCTCATTGTGTTTTTTATTTGTACTCTTATTGCCAGTGATTTTGTGCCTTTCTTCATGTGTCTGTTGGTCATCCACATATCTTCCCTTTTCAAAGGTCTTTCCATGTTGTTTGCTAATTTTGTAATTGGGTAGTAAACTTTTGTTATGAGACCCTCGTCTGAGACAGCACTGTCAATTTCCCCCGCCCCCCCACCTCAAACTGTAGATTTTCTTTTTACCCTACTGTAAAAAAAGTTTTTTATGCAAACAGTGCTTTTATCTTTAGAAGGTCCCATTTATCAATGTGCTCTCCTCCTGGTTGTACATTTCTGGTTGTATTTGCCAGCCTATTTATACTATAGGCTAGGCCTTTTAAATGTGATCCCATTTTGTCTCCTATAATGTTTAAGTTTTTTTTGGGGTTTTACCCTGAGGTCTCAGATCCACCTTGATTTTTTGTGTATTGTGTGAGATGTGGATCCTGTTGCAGCTTTCTGCAGGTAGCAGTCCAGTTTTGTCAGCATCATCTGTTGAAGAAGCTATAGTTTCCCCATTTGATACGTTCTGTTTCCTTGTTGAATACCAGTTGACCATAGACAGATGGTTTAAATTCTGGGATCTCTATTCTGTTTCACTGGTTTACATCTCTGTCATTGTACCAGTACCATGCTGTTTTGGTTATTGTGGCTGTGCACTTCCTAACCTCTTGATGGTACAAAGAAGTCTATTATTTGGATTGTATCCTTGGAAATTCTATGGGCAAGCATTTCTACTGTTAACCTATAAGGTCACGAGGGGTCAGAATTTGGATGGCAAGTGGCTTGATTTGTTTTGGGATGAGACAAATGTAATTTTGAACACCAACTGGATATTTGATATTATGAAATAATTGAAACTTTAAATATCTGATAGCAGTACTATAGCAACCTTGAATGACTTTTTCATCTTTTAGAGATACTTTCTCCGATATTTATTAATGAAAAGACACTTGCCTAGAATCTACTTGAAAACAATGGAGGAAGGGGCAGAGTTATAGCGGAAGTAAAACTGGCCATAAATAGGTAATTACTGAAACTTGAAGGTACATGGGGGGTTTACCACAGTATTCTGTTCATTTTTGTATGTGTTTTCTATCTTAAAATCCGAAAACCAAATGAATCATTTCTTAAAGGATATTAATAATGCAGATGTTTTTGTATTTTTGATATGTCATCCTCAATTGTACATAATTCACCCTTTGATAATAAGGAGTGGAATACATCTATTCAATTTAATTTCACTCAGAATTAATTTTTATAATAATCATTGGATGCTTACAATAAGCAAAGTGTGAGGCTTAAAAAAATATCCTACCCTGTGGACATCATTCTGCTTCTGTACTGTTGGAAAATCGCCTCCTATTGGTGCCTGGCGACTTAACTCGTCATCTTTCAGCTGTAACCACACCAGAAGCTCCTGAAGAGAAAGGTGCAGACGTTTCCACTGGTCAGAACTGGCTTCCAAATGAGATCTGAAAAATAAGGGGGCCACTTGTCAATATTGGGGAGGACAATTAATGAGCTCAACAATTCCCTTCAGTAACATAATCACATCACCCTATCGTGAATGACCTAGCAGTCCCAGGTGCAATTCTGATTTTGAGAGACAGAAAATGGAAGTGAGGGTTATTTTGATGAAAATTTTGAGTCAAGGTAGTGGTTAACCATATGCTTATTTTCACATGCTGAATTCTGAGACTTTTGGCAAGAAAGAGACACTAGAACAGACTGCTTTCACATAGTGTTGCAGTCAATGAAGTTTAATGTTTTCCGTAGGAAAAACGTGGACCCAGTGACTAATATAAACCGCTCAACTTTCATGTGACTCATGCTAGTGCTGGAATTATTTCTGCTTTAAGAAATGGAAAGGTTTCTCCCACATCCTGACTTTTTCATTTCCACACCCTGGGCAGCCTCTTCCATTGACTCCTTCCGTCTGGCGTCTATTTCTTCCTTCTCCTCATCCCACCTGCTTGTCCTTTCACTCTGTGTTTCCTCATCTGTGCACACCTGGGATTTGCTTTCACCAAGTTCCAACATTTTCCACTTTGTTTCCTTTGTGTAAAATGAACTGAGACAACAGTTCAGGGGGAAGAGGAAAATCAGACATTTGCCAGAAAGGCTCCCCCCAAACATGAATAATTTAGGCAGGAAACCGAGTGCTCTACCATCAACTGTATTTAGAACATGTTAATCCTTAGGAACCATTTAAGAATCTGCAAATGAATGATTTGCGTTATAAAATCCACATTTCACTTGGGGATGAGAAGCTGAATTAATAAAATAAATCATCATGCAAGAAAACAAAGAGGAACACAGAGTGTTAGTCAAAGCATTAACCTCAGGTAAATTAGGAATTATGCTGCGTGCTTCACATTTTATCAGCAAGTACTAATACTTCATCAAATTAATGCTGCTTATAATATAAATATAATGTTGTTTCTAATGCTATGAAGATTAAAGTGTAAAGAAAAGCATCCAGGTAGAGAGAAACATTTCCCTGGGCCATTTGGTAACTCAGTCTGACATTTCAAATACAATTCTCCTCTGGCCCCAGTCAAACAGAATCACAAAAGAGTTTCTATTTGGAAATTAAATTGTTCCAATCTTTCCAAAGTATAATTTGATGATACATAGAAGTCCTTAAAATAAGCAAATGCACTGACCCCACAAGTTCAAATTCAAGGAGTTCATACAAAAAAGTAAGGCTGAGAGCAGAAAACTTGCAACACTATACTATAGATACAAGATTGTTATTATTGTTATATATAGGATTATCTATGACTGAGGGAGAGCAGTAAAGATTTCAATATTCAAAAGTAGATGTTTGGTTACACATACTACAATAAATTAATACAATGAAATTCTATGCAAGATGTTCAAAGATCACCACATCAGTTTCTAAGAGAGCAAGCATACATTGCATACATGGTATAAAAAAATGTAGAAAATCTTTTTTTTCTCTAATATTTGTGTATACGTAGTTGTGTGTGCATGCTTACTCTGCATGAAAAAATTTAGAACTAGGTTATCAGTTAGAACTAGATTTGCAATTGATTTCTTTCTTCATCTTTATACTTCTCCAAAGAATCAGATTTTTCTTTTTTAATGGGCAATATAAATATTGTAATCCAAAATGTGAAGATATTCATCACCTAAAAGAAATGAATTGCTCAAGACTCTAAGGGTATCATTTCATTATCTAATAAAATGAACTGTAAAGTACCATAAATGCCATCAATGAAATAAAGGAGCCCAAACTGCATATAGTGTAGAGGTCAGTTTTTTCAATCCTACTCTTTCAGTTATCATATTTCATGGTACATCCAAGAAGAGAATGCCCTGTACAGGATTTCAGCTGTTTAAGGGCATATAATGACTACTGGCTACAGATCTCCTGGGATGCCTGGAGTTTTGTAGCTTTCCCCTTGAGAGTAAGGCAATGCAAAAGCTGTCAAAAGGGGCATTCTGAAAGGAAGTTAGAGACAGGCAGAGTCAAAACATGCAAAGGCAAAAAAATGGGAGAGGAGACACTGATTAAATAAATATCTGTTTTATAACTATAGATCTCAGTGACACATTGGGGAGTACAGAGAATGAAAAGTAATGGAGGAAAAAAATATCAACGGCATGGCCTTCCTCTATCTAATGTATCAGTTGTTGGTGAGTTGATTCTGACTCAGTGGCAAAACTATGTGTATGTTGAGAGAACAGAGCTCCATCAGGTTTTCAAAGACTGCCTTTTGGAAATAGATCATCAAGGTTTTCTCTTGGTGTCTCCAGAGAGATTTGCACCTCTTACTTGTCAGTTATGAGCCAGATAAACAAACTATTTGTACTATCTAGGATTCTCTTAGGAAACAAAGTGGACAAACTGTCCATGGTGAGGTCTCACGCTTATGCTTATTAATTTGCACGAAGAAACATTACTACGAACCTGTTTCGAGGTCATATGATCAATTTAATAGTAATGGTCAATGAACTCCTATACATCTTCTGAGAGAAAGAAAAAGCATTGAGACCTAGGCTGTTCAATTCTAAAGGATCTAAGAATTAGACCTTGGTAAAAGGTAGGGAAGCTGCTATAAATTGGGCACAGAGGGCGGTCAAGGGATTTAACAAGGCAGAAGTTGACATCATGTTGTTAGGTGCTGTTGCGTTGACTCCAACTCATAGCAACTGTGCAAACAAGACTGAAACCTGGCTCTATCCTGTGCCATCCTCGCAATCTCCACCACACCCAAGCCCCTTGTCACAGTTACTGAGTCAGTTCATCTTGGCAGCATCTTCCTTTCTTTAGCTGACCCTTTACCTTTTCCAGCATGGTGTCTTTTTCCAAGAACTGACTCTTCCTGACAACATGGCCAAACAAAACATGTGAAATGAAGCTTCACCAGCCTTGTTTCTAAGGAACACTCTGGTTGCCTTTCTTCTAAAAGGGATTTGCTTATTTATCGTCGGCCATGGTACAGTCAATATTTATCTCCAGCACCACAATTCAAAGGCATCAGTACTTTTGTTGTTGTTGTGTGCCACAGAGTCAGATTTGATCCATAGGTGACTCTCTATTGTGTTTTTTAGAGGCAGTTGATCACACAGCAGGAGACTGCCAGTCCTTCTCCCACGGAGGAGCTCGTGGCCTCGAAACGTGTGCCTTTGGGACTGCAGCACAGCTTATTGCCACTAGGCCACCAGAGCTCCCTCTCAGTACTTTTAGATTAATATAAAGCAGATAAATACCATGATTTAGATCGGGTACACCTTAGGCTTTAAACTGATATGCTTGCTCTCTGGCATTTTAAAGAGGCTCTTGACAGGACACATGACCACAAAATATTAAAAACAAATCCCCAAACTTCCATTTATCCATCTGGGTAAAGGAACTTTTCCTAGGGTATAGGATTAGGTCAAATTTTATTGTTTGATAACCTTAATTTTGGAAGCAGGAGTGGCATCCACTTCCTAAACAACATGCCTCCAAGAACTCTATGAACTTTGATAAATTTCGATAGTTGTAGAGGGGCTTTAAGCCTTTTGTTCACAGGGACACTATGAGCCATGCTCAACTTGAAGTCAATCAACCACCACCACCACCTTAATTACCAAATGACTATTTCCCCTTCTAAAACATGGGAGTGAAAATGAAGATGTGATATGAGGATTAAAACTTAAGGAAAAGCCTAGTGAATGATATAGAAGGAAGGACTAGAGAGGTAGAATCTGGGTCAGAGGATGGCGTTTGCTTAAAAGCAGTGCATACACATACAAAGGTATGGTCTCAGACTTCAGTGTGTATGAATAACCTGTGAGATGTCTACTAGTTGTCACTGAGTCAGTTCCGGCTCATAGAAACCCTCCATACAGCAAAGTAGAACTTCTCTGGGCTCCAACTGCTAGGGTTTCCAACTGATGATTTTTTAGAAGGAAATTGACAGTTCTTTCTTCTGAGGAGCCTCTGGGTGGACTGAAGTGGCGAGCTTTCAAGTGGCAGCCTAGTGTGTAGACTGTTTGCTCCACCCAAGGACTTCAGCCTTTAGGGTGGTTGTTGTTATGTACAGAACTTACTCAGAGCTGGTCCTCCAACAGATTTTCAGAGCCAGTTAATTGCACAGGAGGAGATTGTCCAACTTTCTCCCTTGGAGCAGCTGATGGATTCAAATCATGTGCCTTTCGAATTGGAACACAGCTGCTTACCACTAGGGTGTAGCACTTATAAAATAAGGATTCCGAGGTGCTATCTCCAAAATATGACTTAGATCTAGCATAGACATTTTATTTCATGTTTTAATTGGTTTGCACATTGCTCTTTATGCATGTACACTGTGTTTTTTGTAAATGTGTGTGCATGTGTGTGTGTGTGTGTGTGTGTGTGTGTGTGTGTACTGTCAAATCAGATCTGACTGGTACAGGAGATTGCCCCTCCTCCTCCAGCAGAGCATCTGGTGGATTCGAACCGCATACCTCTGGGATTGTAGTACAGCTTCTTGCCACTAGGCCACCAGAGCTCCCCTGTACATTGTGTTTTGCACAATCTTTCACTTAAGCTGTATTTTGTTCATGTATATTTTGGGGGTTCCCCCTTATCTGGTGGCCTAGTGGCAAGAAGCTGTGCGGCAATTCCAAAGGCACGTGGTTCGAGTCCACCAGCTGCTCCATGGGAGAAAGATGGGCAAGCTCCTCCTGTGCAATTAACTGCCTCTGAAAACTCACCAGAGGGTTAGCTATGGGTGTGTTCTGTCTCGAGGGTACACAACAATAATCATCATCATACTAGTAACTACATTCATGAAAGCGTGCAAGCCAGCTACTTCATGCCTCATGCCCTAATATCCCCCGTTGAGATGGCCAATTGCTGATTTCCTCGTCCCTATCAAAACAGTTAACTCCGCAATAAGGGATATGCCTTTAACTTGCTGG